CCAAATGGAACCACACTCATCCGTTTATGCTATACTTTTAAATTATATTTATTTCAATTTGAAAATACATCAATATCTGCAACGGATGGCCAATATATCGAATTTAGTGGATCCGTTTATTCCAAAACGAAAAAACGTACAAAGTTACAAAGGCACTTTGACTTGACCATATTTATGACCAAAAGCGACCAAACACTACTATTACAGTCTTTAATGGCCTTGATCACAGACTTGGCAAATGGTGGCCGATCTCGGATTTACAAGAGTGCAACGTTCACAAGCCCATTGGCCTGACTCGGAACTGCTGGCTCCCTTGTGTTTCCCCCCTAAGCTCTTTGAACTTTTGTTTCGAATACACGCACCATGCGAGCTCACATCTGGTAAACCGTTCTCCAGCGCTCGAACTAAGTTCTCAAAATAGTTCTTGGTGACGCTGTTCATTCCCAGTAATAATAAAAAGAAAATTGTTATTAGCTTTTTCCGCCACGCAGAGCCAACTAAATAAATGAAAACTTCCTTAAGTTTGCGAGTCAGTAATACTAGAATTTACATGGCATGCCATACTTAAATTACTTTGTTCTCTCGGTATGGAAAACTACCTTGTTAAACCTGCCAGTTTTGTGCGGAACTCATTAAAATCATCCGACGGACCTTTGGCGTTAGAGTACAATTGCAGTTCTTTTTCAGCACATTGATGAAGTCGTTCAAGGCCCGACTCAGCTTCGCCTAAAATGCATGATAACAGAAGAAAAGAAATAAATGATATATTTTTAGCACAATAAAGCCTGTTGCAAACAAAAGCCGGACTAAGGAGCTGGATCAAATTGTTATGAATTATGATGCTTAACATAGAGTCCACATTATCTCTCATATAGGGCATATCCTAAACCATTTCCCACCTTACTAAGACTACATGATATTCTATAACATCACGACCAGATCCATCAGTGCACTTATGAACCCCTGATGGATCTAATCATCACTAAATATGCTACCTCCAACAACTGGAAAAGACAAAAGATTAAATCTTTTTATGTTTGTCTTCATGCATGAACACATTTGGTAAATGATAACTGAGAACCAGCAACTTTTCCAGTTCGAAGATCATGTTTGCAGGAAGAATATTCTTCTTTCCTCATGCATCCCCTTCCTAATTTCCTATCATTTTTGGTCAGCTTTTGTTCAACAGTTCCGGCTTAGAAAGACCAATCAGAGTCGAACACGCACAGAGTAATACACTCAAGGGAAAGCAAAGTTAAAAGTTAAATGTGATAGCTAAATTAAGTTACCTTGCAAGTACTCAAAAAACTGTCTCTTTCCATGCTCATGGTCAGGTATGTAAAAACCATAGGCATATGTCCATTTTAGTACTCGTCTGCATTCGATTATCTATGATTGTAGAGCAAATTAGTGTGGGAAATCCAAAAGTCTCAGCACGCCACAGGAGGAACAGAATTTACCTGTAACCACGCTTCTATAATGAACTTCAGTTGTGATTCAGGCTGACACTGTATGTCACTAAGCTTCTCAATCTGACAAGTCAATCCAAAAAAATTAGCGAAACCCAACAATATAGAAAGCAAGAACAATCATCGAAAATTGTAAGTGTCATGGCAAGATAGACAACAATCAATAAGGGCATATATGTAATCTCTTGCAAAAGATCATCATGTGATAACTTAAGCAAACTTTCTGAACTTTATTGGATATAAAATCTGGAAATAATGGAATGGAGACAAAAGAACAAGCGAGAAGGTGAAAGAGGAGGCAAGACCAATAATTATTCTAGCAAAATTTCACACTTTTTTCATCAGGCAATACTTCCTTGGTGATTCTTATTTACATGAGCAAGTGTTTCACTGTAAGCTCACATCATCTGTTTGCATCTTCTTTAGATCCACCAGCGCCTTTTGCCTAGACTGCAGCAAGCAGTGAAAACACTTGTAAATCATTTTAGAATAAACACCAATGCGCTTTCCGTAAATACAAAACTTGAATTTTTTCTGGGGGTCATTATTCAATAAAGAATACATTTTACCAAAAATGAAACATGAAATTTCTGGCAGATGATATGGATAAGACAAATTCCAAGGATTATGATGAACCCCCCTCAGCCTAATTTCAGTAATATGTTTTAGTATGGCATATAATTTACTTAGCTCTATTAGTTACATGGCTTGTTAACTACCTGTCACTCCGATAAAAGATTTGCCAACCATATCAAGCCCC